AGAGAAACAAAGGAAAAAATTAATGTATGGGACTACATCAAACTATAAAGCTTCTGCACAGCAAAAAAAGAAAAACACATCAAAATGAGAAAGGAACCCATCATATGGGAGAGCATAATTGCCACCAATACATCAGATAAAGGATTAACTTCCAAAATTATATATAGAGTACTCATACAACTCAAGAAAAGGAAAACAAAGAATCTAATTAAAAAATGGGTTGAGCCTTGGCCGGTTTGGCTCAGCGGTTAGAGCATCCGCCTGCGTTCCGGAGAGACCCAGGTTCGGTTCCCGCTAAGGGCATGTACCTTGGTTGCAGTTTGTCCCCGGCCCTGGTTGGTCGTGTGGGTGGCAGCCACTCGATGTGTCCCTTTCACATCGATGTTTCCCTCTCTCTCTTCCTCTTTCTCCCTCCCACTCTGTCTGTACAAAAAATGGAAAAATGTCCTCGGGTGAGGATAAAAAAAATAAAAATAAATAAAATAAAAAAAATGGGTTGAGAACCTAAATAGATACCTCTCCAAACAGGATATCCAAATGGCCAAGAGACATGAAAACATCCTCAATGTCACTAATCATTAGAGAGATGCAAATTAAAACGAGTATGAGGGGACTTCTGGTCATGATGGCAGCATAAACACGATATCGCCTCCTCCCACGGTCTCATCAAAACTACAGCTAAACTATAACACAGTCATCATTAAGGACTGCCTGAAATCGAGCTGAATGGAAGTCCTACAACTGTGAGATTAAAGAAGCAGCCACATCCGGGAGGAGGTGCAGACGGGCTTGTCCCACACCCACCTGTGGTGCATAAAAATCAGAGGAGACACCTTGGCTGGGAAGGTCCTCCCTGAGGAGAGAGGGGTCCCTGTCCTACACCAGGTATCCAGCTCAGGGTTCCAGTGCCAGGAAGAGAAGTCCCCATCACTTCTGGCTGGAGAAACCAGCAGGAACTGAGGCTGAGGGAGGGTGCCCCAGGCAGTTCCTCTTAAAGGGCCTGCCTCGCAAGGACTTACTGGGACTTGTTCTCTCTAAGCTCTTAGGGGAGGCAGCTTGAAGGGCACCAGAGACATATAGGGAAGAACTGAGAGGTTGGGCTTTGGAGCGAGGGCTGGAGAGGTGGCTTTCTCCTGGACAGGTGTGCTAGCAGAGGCTAATGTTCCTTTGGGGAGCCCTTTTTTGGGGTGGCAGAAGGCTGCCATATCTGGGACTCCAGCAACTTGGCACACACTGTTTGCCCTGCTCTGGTGATTCCCTGAAGCCCTACTCCACCCTACTTTTGGGTCCACCCAAGCTGTTTCCAAAGGCTTTACCATAGGATTGGCCTATCTTAGATCCTGCTTCAGAGTTTCCTAAAATCTCTGAAACAAGCAGCATCTGGTCTCAGCCTCATATCTCTTCTTCTTTATTTTTTTTAATTCTCACCCGAGGACATTTTTCCATTTTTTGTTCAGGTAGAGTGGGAGGGAGAGAGAGGAATACACACACACACACACACACACACACACAGAGAGAGAGAGAGAGAGAGAGAGAGAGAAAGAGAAACGTCGATGTGAAAGGGACACATCGAGTGGCTGCCATCCTCACGACCAACCAGGGCCAGGGACAAACTGTAACCGAGGTACATGCCCTTAGTGGGAACTGAACCTGGGTCTCTCGGGACCGCAGGCTGATGCTCCAACCGCTGAGCCAAACTGGCCAGGGCCCCATACCTCTTCTTAAGTGACCGCAGGCCTGGCACTAGAAGCAGCCAACCTTGGTTCACAACTTGGCTTTTTCTGGGCACCTCCAAGCCCAGCACAAGAAGCAGCCATCTGCAGATCACTTTGTAGCTTATGCCGGGTGGCCCCAGATAGAACACATGCAGTGGCTGCCCTTGCCCCAGAGCCAGCACCCCAGTGGACAGCCTCAGACTACATTGAAATACCACCAACCAACCACCTCCACAAGTGACACATGTAGTGAGCAGACTCAATGGGTACCAGAGCCCTGCTGAACTAAGTCTTACTCTGTGTGGTGGGCCCCTACACAGCTGATCCTCTAAGGTAGTCAGAGGTCAGTGGTCAGTGGGCACAGACTCTCCTTGCAGCTGATCAGTTTGAGTAAATCCCTCCCATTGACGTGCCAACAGCAATCAAGAATCAATTACAAAAGAAGGGTGTACAGTCCACACTAGGGGATTCACCTTGAGGGTCCAGCTGGGGTGATCAGGGAGACTGTGCCACTGGACCTTACAGGACACCTACAATAATAGGCCACCCTACGGAGCCTAGAGACATAGAAACTCTACCTAATACATAGGAACAATCACAGGGAAGCAGCCAAAATGAGAAGACAAAGAAACGTTCCAATTGAAAGAAAAGAACAAAACTCCAGGAAAAGAATTAAACAAAATGGAGATAAGCAATCAATCAGATGCAGAGTTCAAAACACTGATTACAAGGTTGCTCAAGGAACTTTGTGAGACATTAAATGAAGTTAGTGAGACCTCCAAGGAACTTAGTGAGAACATCAACAACATAAAAAAGGACCAGTCAGATGCACTAACTGAAATAAAGAATAATTTACAGGGAATCAATAGTATATAGTTGGTAAAGCCAAGAAGCAAACCATCGATTTGGAATATAAGGAAGCAAAACACACCAAATCAGAATGGCAAAAAGAAAAATACAAAAAAATGAGGATGGGGTAAGGAGCCTCTGTGAACTTCAAGAGAGCCAACATTTGCATCATGGGGGTGTCAGAAGGAGAAAAGAGAGACCAAGAAATGGAAAACCTATTTGAAAAAATGACAGAAAACTTTCCAAACGTGGTGAAGGAAACAGACATACAAGTCTAGGAAGCACAGACAGCCCCAAACAAGATGAACCCAAAGAGGTCCACACCAAGACACACCATCATCAAAATGCCAAAAGTTAAATACAAAGAGAGAATCTTAAAAGCAGCAAGAGAAAAGCAGTTCATTACCTACAAAGGAGTTCCCATAAGTCTGTCAGCTGATTTCTCAAAAGAAACTTTGCAGGCCAGAAGGGAGTGGCAAGAAATATTCAGAGTGATGAAAAGCAATGACCTACAACTAAGATTACTTTATGCAGCATAGCTATCATCTACAATCTATGTACATATCAAGAATTTCCCAGATAAGAAAAAGCTGAAGGAGTTCATCATCACCAAAGCAGTATTATATGAAACATTGAAGGGTCTTCTTGAAGGAGAAGAACAAAAATATGAGCAATAGCCCTGGCCGGTTTTGTTCAGCGGTTAGAGCGTCAGCCCACAGACCAGAGAGTTCGGGGCATGTACCTCAGTTGCATTTTGTCCCCGGCCCCAGTTGGGGTTGTGCGGGTAGCAGCCAATTGATGTGTTTCTCTTTCTCTTCCTCCCTCTCTCCCTTCCGCTCTATCTGAAGATAAATGCAAAAAAAATATTCTCAGGTGAGGATAAAATATATATATATATATATATATAGATATATAGATATATAGATATATATAGATATAGATATAGCTATATATATGAACTATAAAATGGCAATTAATACATATCTGTCAATTGAATCTACAAACAAAATGAGCAAGCAGAACAGAAACAGACTCATAGATACAGAGAACTTTTTGTTGCTTGCCAGATGGGTTGGTGCTGGGGGGATGGGTGAACAAGGTGAAGGGATTAAGAAGTACAAATTGGTTGTTAGACTGATGAACCTCAAAGGGAATGGGGGAGGGAGAGTGGGATGAGATAAAGCAAAGACCTATGCATATATGCATAACCAGTGGACACCAACAATAGGGGAAGGCAGGAGGGGGGAGAATGGAGGGGAACATCTGTAATACATTCAACAATAAAGATGAGTTTAAAAAACAAGGACTGCCCTTACTGGTTTGGCTCAGCGGTTGGAGTGTCGGCCTGTGGACCAGAGAGACCCGAGTTTGGTTCCTGCTGGGGGCAGTACCAAAAAAAAAGACGACGAGGACTATGTGGTATCACCTCACACCTGCCAGAATGGCTGTCATCAACAAATCATCAAACGTGTTGACGAGGGTGTGGAGAAAAGGAGAGTCTACTACACTGCTGGTAGGAATGCAGACTGGTGCAGCCACTATGGAAATAAATATGATGTTTATTCAAAAAATTAAGAATTGAACTCCTATTTGACCCAGTGATCCCACTTCTAGGAATGTATCCTTAGAAGCCTGAAACACCAATCAGAAAAAATATGTGTACCCCTGTGTTCATAGCAGCACTATTTACAATTGCTGTGATCTGGAAACAGTCCAAGTATCCATCAAGAGATGAGTGGATAAAAAAACTGGTACAAATACACAATGGAACACTATGCTACTGTAAAAAAGAAAGATCTCTTACCCTTGAGACAACCTGGAAGGTATTATGCTAAGCAAAATAAGCCAATCAGAGAAAGATAAATACCACGTGATCTCACTTATTTGTGGAGCATAAGTGAACAGAAAAAGCTGATGAACAAAATAGACCCAGAGACATAGAAAAGAGTATGGTTCAGCTGACAAACTTCAGAGGAGAGCGGGGTGGGGGGGAGGAATGAGATAAACCAAAGAACTTATATGCATGTATGCTTAACCAATGGACATAGACAATTCTTGGGGCAGGGAGGGGGGCAGGATAGGGAGGAGGGTATTTGGGGGGAGGGGGAGGAAACATTTGTAACAAAAATTAATAAGTTAAAATAATAAAAAAGGAGATCAGATGGGACTGAGGAAGAGACAAAGTATATGTCCTCTGTAGTAATCTTTGGGAGATCTGCATGATTCTTTCCAAAATGTTTGTAGTGTCTGGGGCCAAAAGTACGTAACATCCTACAGCCTTTTATTGCAAGATTGGAATACTAGTGAATTCTTTTGTTTTAAATTGGGGTCATCCTATGGAGTTCTAGAAATGTAAGAATATACTAAACTCTCGGAAACTTATTTTAAAAGAATAATAAGATGATCCAATTGGATGATTGAATTTTATTATTGCAGATGTGAAAAAAGTTTCTTTGAAGCTAGAGATCTTCGCCAGCACATGAACAAACATCTTGGTGTGAAGCCATTCCAGTGCCAATTTTGTGATAAGTGCTATAGTTGGAAGAAAGATTGGTATTCTCATGTGAAGTCTCATTCTGTCACTGAGCCTTACAGGTGGGTAAATATGAGGATCTGAACTTAATTGAGGTATATGTATGTACTTGGATTCATCCTTTTGGATACTAATGCTTTTAGGTTTTTTCCTCCCTAATTTAGATGTAACATATGTGGCAAAGAATTTTATGAAAAAGCATTGTTCAGAAGGCATGTAAAGAAAGCTACCCATGGGAAAAAAGGAAGAGCAAAGCAAAACCTGGAACGGGTGTGTGAACGATGTGGAAGAAAATTCACTCAACTGAGAGAGTATAGGAGACACATGAACAATCATGAAGGTAACTTTACTCAATGTCATATATAATATAGCTATATATTATAGATAAATATATAAAGAATAAAAGCCAATCCAATACTGATTCTGCCTTTATCAGCCCTGTTGCTTATTACCTCGTCTTCCTTGATAACAGAAGTATTGCATATCATAGATATTTCTTTTTTTTTTTATCCTCACCCGAGGATATTTTTCCATATTTTGTACAGATAGAATGGGAGGGAGAGAGAGTGAGAAACATCGACGTGAAGGGACACATCGAGTGGCTGCCACCCGCACGACCAACCAGGGCCGGGGACAAACTGCAACCGAAGTACGTGCCCTTAGCGGGAACCGAACCTGGGTCTCTCCGGACCGCAGGCCGACGCTCTAACCGCTGAGCCAAACTGGCCAGGGCGCATATCATAGATTTTTTTCAAGTGATACAGGTCATTTTGTTTTTTTGTGTGTGTTTTTTAATCCTCATTTGAGGACATTTTTCCATTTTTGTTCAGATAGAGTGGGAGGGAGGGAGAGAGAGAGAGAGAGAAACATCGATGTGAAAGGGACACATTGAGTGGTTGCCACCCATGCGACCCAACCAGGGCCGGGGACAAACTGCAACCGAGGCACGGGCTCTTAGGGGGAACCAAACCCGAGTCTCTCTGGACCGCAAGCCGACGCTCTAACCACTGAGCAAAACCGGCCAGGGCTGATAGAGGTCATTTTGAACCTGACTACCTAATTTAGTGAAGTTAATATCCCCTATTAACATTTTTATGGACTCCTTGGAACCTGTTTTCTTATTTAGGATTATAGGATTGCTGTAAAAATTAAGTGAGACCATGCACAGAAACTCAGAATTGCCTCTCAGTAACTTCTATCCATAGTCAACATAGAAAGGCTTATATAAGGGTTACTGTATTTTCTTAAAAAGCATTATTTATGAGGTAACTTTAATATACTTTGGTACTTGCACCTCACCACACACACACCTCCTCTTCTTTTTTTTAATAGGAGTTAAGCCATTTGAGTGCTTAACATGTGGAGTAGCTTGGGCTGATGCCCGATCTCTAAAACGCCATGTCAGAACACATACTGGTGAACGGCCCTATGTTTGTCCTGTGTGTAGTGAAGCCTACATAGATGCACGAACACTCCGAAAACATATGACTAAATTCCACAGAGATTATGTGCCTTGCAAAATTATGCTGGAAAAAGATACCCTTCAGTTTCATAACCAAGGAACTCAAGTGGAGCATGCTGTTAGCATCTTAACAGCAGACATGCATGAACAGGAAAGCAGTGGCCCTCAAGAACTTGAGACTGTGGTAGTGACAGGAGAAACTATGGAAGCTCTTGAAGCAGTTGCAGCTACTGAAGAGTATCCATCTGTATCTACACTTTCTGACCAAAGTATTATGCAAGTGGTTAATTATGTGTTGGCACAACAGCAAGGACAGAAGTTATCTGAAGTCGCAGAAGCTATTCAAACTGTTGAAGTAGAGGTGGCACATATTTCAGAAGCAGAATGAATATAGTAATGGAGATTTTTTAAAGAGACATCTCATGTATACTGAACTCACAGAACATTTGTTTACAATATTATGTGACTATCTGCCTAGACTTTGTGAAGACTGTGGATTGTTTGATGATGTTTTAACATTTCTGAATGGTTTGGCTAAATTCCATTTACTGTAAAGAAATTGAAAACATCAGTTTGATGGCAGTGGTTTATCATGGTATACTTTTTATGAATTAATGTTTGTAAAGGACTGTACTAAGTGAAAAACTGTACAGTTTCATTTACGATTTAACATTGTTATATACTTTGAGTTTAAAAGGCTGCACCAGTCAGCTTTTCTTCTCTTTTATTCTCAAAATACAAAAGATTTGTGATTTCATTTGCCCTTTATATGGATTTAAAAAAAAATCTAATATAAAGCATTTTAGTAGGATGCATAGGTATGTTACATTTTTTTTTAATGCTTCAAATCTGTGATTCTTGACTTACTATTTATTTTAAGCCCTTATAAGTCAGGGATTCTTTATTTTATTTTAAAGCACTTAATGAGTTACATGTTGTAATCAAGTTTGCACAGTATACTTATCTATGTGGGGAACCCTTAAATGACTAGCTGATTTTAAATATGCCATAAAAATGCATGAAATGCCTATTAAAGCCTTACTATACTATCTCTTCAAGGCAAGTAAATAGACCATAAGCAAAGAACACTGTTATTAAGCACTGTTGATGAGAAATTTCTCTTTGATAACATAGGGCCATACATGGGGGTTGGGGAGGAAAGAATCTCGTTCTTTTGCTGGAAAATTAACAAGTTAAAACTAGGCTTTGTATGTTTGCATCTTTTGTATCATGGGTTTTTTTGGGTTTTTTTTTTTTTTTTTCTGCTTTTTTGTATCATGTTTTATTGTTCAATTTTGTTGGAAAAATGCAATTTAGAAATAGGATAACAATTTAGACATCTATAGTGGTCCTGTGGATATTATATAATTGTACAAGTAATTTAAAAATATTGAAAAGTCCTCATTCAGCCCTCATTATAGTATACTACTTAAATAGATTAAGTCCACCAAATTGTTGAAAGTAAATTATTTTAAAAAGTTACCCGGGAATTGAATTATATTAATTTGTGTTTTTTATTTTTAAATTTCCACCTCCTACGCTATCTAATTTTCTGATTTTCAAAATTACCATAGGGAGATGCCACATTTCTCTCCTCTTGGAAACTACAACTCAAGCTATAATTCTTAAAATTAAATTTTTAAGTATTAAAAACTAATATAAGGTATAAAATTAAGATATAAGCAAATCACATGTAAATCATTCCTAAAGCACAAGAAAGTAATGTGCCTTGATGTACATATATTAAGATACTTATTCCAGTTTACTTTAAAAATGGCTTAATAAAGAATAAATGTGATGCCATGCATGTATTATACTTGCATATGTAATATTTGCATTTGCAAATTTCCCATTATTTCAATAGCTGTGTGGCTGACTTTCAATTTTAAGTAAATTGACATACAGTCTAGAACTCTATAATGGCTGTTCGTTTATTGTATCTTTCAGTTAGTGAAAATGTATTTCAGCCTGACTGAAATTTGGAATTGTGTCTTTTTGTTCCATCCTCTCCATTGTTATTAGATTTAGTTAATTGTATAAGGCCATTAATGTATGTAATAAATATGTAAATAAAAGATGTTGAATCTTGTTTAAAAGCATAAGCTTTGGAGTTGAGCTGGTCACTATTTTCAATTCATAAATCAGTTGCTGTTATTTGATATGTTATTAAGTTAATCTATTTTTAAAGGGAAGGGGAATCAAACACAGTAAAAAATAACCATTGGGGAAATGCATAATAATATTAAAACTTCTTACTCTTAAACATAATCTATCCACAAAATTTAAAGAAGTGTGATTAACTAAGTTTGGATAACTTAAAATGTGCAGAAATAAAAAAAATTATATGTAGAAAAAATGTTAAGGTTCCAAAAATTCAGTTTTATATTACCATAGGGGAAACTTCTATATTTAATTTATAACAATTTTCTTTTAGAAACCCACTGTAGCCCAGCTGGTGTGGCTCAGTGGTTGAGTGTGGACCCATGCACCAAGAGGTTGCCAGTTCCATTTCTGGTCAGGGCACATGCCTAGGTTGTGGGCCCACTCCCCAGTGGGGGGCGTGCAGGAGGCGGCCTATTGATGTTCTCTTTCATCGATGTTTCTTTCTCTCCCTTCCTCTCTCTCTAAAATCAATAAAGAAAAACACACACACACAAAATGTTTTTTAATAAAATCAATTTAAAAAAATAGAAACCCATTATTGCCCTGGCTGGTGTGGTACAGTGGTAAGAGCTGGATCTCCGGTTTGATTCCTGGTCAAGGGCAGGTACTTGGGTTGCAGGTTCCATCCCTGGCCTGGTCTAGGGGGTTCAGGGAAGCAACCAGTTGATTGATGTGTCTCTTTCACATCGATGTTTTTTTCTCTCTCTCCCTGTCCCTTCCTCCCTTCCATTCTCCCTAAAAATCAAGAAAAAAATATCCTCGGGTGAGGATCAAACCCACAACCTTGGCGTATCAGGACAATGCTGTAACCTACCGAACTACTGGGTCATGTCACCTGTTAATCTTATTGGGGTTCTCTTGAAAGTAACAAACTAATTTTCTCTTGTTGCTTTCATAATATTTTTTCTTGTCTTTGATTTTTAGCATTTTTACTCTGACGAGTCAGTTTGTGAATCTATTTGTGTTTATTTTCAGGGCACATATAATAATCAATGAATGCATAAGTGGCAAAATAAATCAATTTCTCTCTCAAAATCAGTAATTTAAAAAAAGATTAATGGATGACTTCTCAGCAGAAAGAATGGAGGGCAGAAAGCTGTGGGATAACATATTCAAAGGGCTCAAAGAAAGAAACCATATCTGTATACCAAGAACCTTATATCCACCAAAGCAGTTTTTCAAAACTGAGGTCAAATAAACTTTTGGAATTTGCTGCTAGCAGACCTGCCTTACAAGAAATACTAAGGAAAATACTTTAAAAAGTGAAAAAAGTGAACTCTAATGGTAATTCAAATTCACGTGAAAGAACAAAGAGCATGCCAAGCGAGTGTGGCTCAGTGGATTGAACGTCCTCCCACACACCGAGAGGTCACTGGTTCACTTCCTGGAAAGGACACTTGCCGAGTTGCAGCTGGATTCCCAGTACAGGGTGTGCAGGAGGCAGATGAATGTTTCTCTCTCATTGATGTTTTCATCTCTCTCTCTCCCTTTCTCTCTTCCTAAAATTGATAAAAACATATTTTAATAAAACAACACTAGTAAAAGTAGTTATAAAATCATGACAGGTTATTATGCATATTCTTCATGATCTTTTTAAAATCTCCTTCATTCTCTTGATTTAACAAGCAATTGTATAAAATAATATTTAGATGCCTTGGCTGGTGTGGCTCAGTTGGTTGGAGAGTAGTCCCATACAACGAAAAGTCCTGGGTTTGATTCCTGATCAGGCCACATACCCAGGTTACTGGTTCAGTCCCCCCATCAGGAACATGTGGGAGGCAACTGATTGATGTTTCACTATCACATCAGTGTTTCTCTCTCTCTCAAATCAATAAAAGCATGGTCCTGGGTGAGAATGAAATATAAATAAAATAATATGGACATAATGTATTATCGAGCCAATAACATATAGAAATATGTGTGGCCCTGGCCGGTTTAGCTCAACTGTTAGAGCGTCAGCCTGCGGTCCAGAGAAATATGTATAATATATATGCTAATAATAGCACAAAGGAGGTGGGTGGGAGAAAAGCTTTATTGGGCTAAGGAAATGACTACAGATGGTAAATAACTAATGTATTATTTAAAAAAATTTTCTTTATTGATTTGAGAAAATAATGTATTACTGAGTTTGCAACATTAATAGGTGTAATGTAACAATACCACAAGGAGGAGGAAAAGGGAATAGAGCTATATAGGAATAATCTTTCTATGTATAGTGAATTAAACCAGTATAAATCTGAAGGTAATTCTGGTTAGTTAAAATGTGTATGATAACCTCCAGTGGTTCTCAACCAGTGGGTTGCGACCCCTTTGGGGGTCAAATGACCCTTTCAACAGGGTTGCCTAAGACCATTGGAAAACACATATTTCCGATGGTCTTAGGAATGGAGACACCGCTCCTCTATCCATCTCCAGGCGGGTCTGCCCACATACAGATACTCCCACATACAACATGAGGAACTGTATTAAAGGGTCGCGGCATTAGGAAGGTTGAGAACCACTGCTCTAGAGCAATCAGTTTTTAAAAACCTCAAATATAGCCCGGCTGGTGCTGCCTCATTTACTGCATTGCAGGTAAAGTTTATTGATTTCACATTTCTTCTTTTCCAATGTATGCACTTAAGGCTATAAATGTCTCTCTCAGCTTTAGTAGCATTCTACATGTTTGAATATGGTATTCTTTCAATATTATTTATTTATGTATGTATATATGTATGTATTTATACTTGAAATAGAAATTTATTCTCTCACAGTCTGGAGGCCTGAAGTCTAAAATCAAGGTGTGGACAGGGAGAATCTGCTCCATGCCTCTTTTCTAGCTTCTGGTGGTTGCCAGCAATCCTTGGCGTCCTTGGTTTGGAGTGTCATCACACCAGTCTCTGCCTCTGTCTTCAAATGGCCTTTTCCTTCTGTGTGTTTCCTCTATGTCTCTGTCCAAATTCCCTTTTTATTATAAAGTCCACAGTCATATTTGATTTAGGGACCACTCTACTGCAGTATGACCTTCTCTTGACTTGGTTATATATTCAAAGACCTTATTTCCAGTTAAGGTCTCATTCATAGGTAGAGGGGATTAGGACATCAACATATTTTAAAATATCTTTCACTACTTGATTCAAAATATTTTCTAGTTTTCATAATTTTTTTTATGTTATTGAAGTTATTGGGGTGTCATTGGTTAATAAAATTCTATAGGTTCAGGTGTACAATTTTATAATATATCATCTGTGCATTGTATTG